CATCCTTCATCACTTATTGCGGTCATGTCCAGAGCATCTGAAGTCAGTTTAAATGTATTCTTAAATGGAATGTAATGAATGAGTTTTGCCACGTAGATCTAAGATCCGAGCTCTCCCATCCAATCAATCTGGCGCTCTGCAAGGAGCAGCCGGAAAAATTGAAAACACTTCAAAGTCGCGCGCCAGGAGGGGAAGGTGAACAAAGCCTACAACGCAAACAAATACAAAAACCGAGGGCTTGATGCTGTGGCCCTTCTTTGTCCTGTTCTTGCAGGAAAGATTTTTACATTTACAGGTGTCAAGTTCTTTCGATGTAGCCTTGTTCGACATCTGATCGTCCCCAGCCCATTTGAGAGGCGCTGCGGCTGTGGATACAAAGAGTTCGAACCAAGCAGCCAGCTGCCCTGCCGCTACAGTTCAAATTTCAATCGATTAGATGGGACAACTTTCGAGGAAGGTAGACCTGCAAAACCAACAATGGTGAGATAAGGAAAATGGTCAGTTCTGGGCGGTGAAAAAGGATAGAATTGCCTCCTACTGTCCCACGACTGCTGCCAGGATCAAGAAAATCTGCAGTAAAATGACAAGTCACCAACCTGAAACACATTGAAAGCATGCCGTACCTGTTATCATGTCCTAGCTCATCCCCTTAAACTGCAAGGGTGGAGTAGTGGCCTGCCTGTCCGCCGGTCTGTGTTGCACCCGGAGATTGAACCCGGGTCCGACGCATCATAGACACTAAACCATACCGGCCCTTCTCTGACATATGCCAGGATCTGGACCTTTACGGGAACCTATGAGTAGTTGAAAACACTTCATCCGAATCGGACTCCTCATCTTACATCCTTCATCACTTATTGCGGTCATGTCCAGAGCATCTGAAGTCAGGCTAAATGCATTCTCATTTGCAATATATGTGTGTGTATATATAATCATATACATCATGAATATGTTGTTGCCACGTAGATCTAAGATCTGAGCTCTCCCATCCAATCTAGGTGCACTATCTCTTGGGAGCTCTGCAAGGAGCTGCCTTGAAATTCAAGGGCCTCACATCAGGATTTTAACCGGGATGGGTTTAGGTGGTTTTGATCTGTGAGGAGAATAGCAAGCTGCGGCAACCTTCCTTTCTAAGACCCATCCCAGATTTTGGAATCCTGGTGGGATTTGACTTTCGGTGGAGACAGGCTCAGGATCTTGGAGGTACTCGCACGATCTTGGAGGTTCTCGCATGATCTTGGAGCACGGACATCAGTCCTCGCTGGCGGCAAAAGCGTCGCTTCTCTGTGTAATTATATAGTACATAGCAATGTATATATATAATCAACGGCCCGAACTCTGCAAAAGGTCATACATTTCTTTTTCTGTATGCAGATTAGGGGGACGGGAGTTGAAATATTGTTTTAGAACAGTATCAATATAAAATACATTCTTCTTGCTCGCTCAATGTTTCTGGAAACACCGGCTTTGGGAAAGGCAAGGGGGGATCAAGACCGGAATGTATGCACAGGGGAGGGGAGGCACATCTATATACAGACATTGTATGAACAGGGAGGTTTGAACAACTGATTTTCCTGATAATGTATGAAACTATGGGAGGGGAAACCGTTAGGAAGCATACATTTGAGGGATCATGCAATGAAATGTAAAAGAACTATAAAAGCGGGCTGGGAACCGGGGACATCCATAGTCATCATGTCATGTTGCTTACAACTTCCAGGTTCAAAAAAATATATATAATATCCCCGTTGAAATTCCCATGGTCGGTCCGGACTCCCCATTCTATAGTAATAAAATGGGGGAGCCTACCTTTTTTGCTCTATAGAATGGACCCAGACCGACCAAAACCAACCAAAATGATACCTTTGTAGATCTATAACCTAAAAAAGGCCTAACCATAAGTTGGTTTACCCCACCCTCCTTCCAGACCTTCATTGGGTCAAGATAAACGCTCAAGCGCACAGTTCACCAAAAAAAAACATGTTATAAGGGGTCACGTTGGCAAAGAAATCTAGGCTTCACAAAACAGCTGACAATGACGGACAGCCACATTTCTCTCTCTTGCTGTGCAAGTGTATATGCTTCGCATATACCATTGGACAATCCCCCATTCCAAAAAACTACCATTCCGGGCTCTCCTTCAAGCTGCACAACAAAACCCAAACACAAAAGTTCATGAACAGTCTGTTCACAAAAAAAATGTCACAGCCATCCACAGTCCTTGTTACTTGTTCCTAGTAACGTCCTTGTTACTAGTAGTACAGCCAGGAGCCCCTAGTAGTAAGGCCACGAGCCCCTAATCCGTCCTCGGGCTTCAAGAATGCTGTGCTTATAGAATGGCTGGAGTCCAGCACCTGAACCAGCCTTTAATCTGAGATTATAGGAAGATTG